AGCAATAAAAGAATATCAACTCAAAGAATTGAGTTCTAATAAAATCATCCTTGCTCAAATAATGTTTTTCTAAAAATATTTCGCTAAAATGAAGAAAAGAAATTACTTATAAGCTGCTTCTTTTTTTTTAATTTCTTAAGTAAACATTTTAACTATATAGCCCAGAAAGTATGTAAGTATCACATTTTCTGCTTTTGGAGTTTTATTAGGAAGGTTTTCTCTCATGTATAATAAAAACTGGAGTGAGTTAAGGGACTTACATAAGTGTGTAAACCAGAAGCTTACTGGTGATACACTGGTGTACTGAGAAGTGTTTGTACCAAGAGGTAATCCTGGAGGAGTGACTTTATAAATTTTTTTCTTTGGGTTTAGTGAGATAAATCTTGTACGATTATTTACCCTTTCCTGTTACTGGAACTGGGGAACTCTGGTGGCCTAGTATGTAACGACTTGTACTGCCAACCAAAAGGCAGATGATTTGAATATACCAGCTGCTTTTGGGGGAGAAAGATTTGACAATCTCTTTAGGGGTGATTTATAACCTCTGAAAACCTACTGGAAAGTTAGCTATTAAGCAGTTTCAACTCAACAGCAATGAGTTTGAGTTTCTGAGCTGTTGAGAAGGTGCAAAATTTGAGATTATATAGTATTCAAGTAAATGGTTTTGGGTTTTCTTTGCTTGCTTGTTTGTCTGTTTCTGTGCATCAGTCCGCTTATTCTAGCATTATAGTCCCTTGGAGCATATGTGTCTCACACAGTATTTGTTAAAAATCCATTATATATCTGCAGTATTAACCTAAAATTGCCCTTTTAGCCATTACCTTAGTCCCTTCTGGCTTCCATCTACCTTAATTACACACACATGGTCTTGCAAATCATCAACATCTGTTATCCTAGTCACACAACCTTATTTGCTGAAACTGAGGAGGACCTGAAGTACTTCCTGCAGAAGGTCAAGACTGTAGTCTTCAATACAGATTGAACCTGAACATCAAGAAAACAAAAATTCTCACCACTAGGCCAATGGGTTTGAGGTTGATAACAAGTACAGCTTACTCAACTCCACAATCAACACTCTTGGTAGCAGCAGTCAGGAAATCAAAAGATGAATTGCTCTTGGAAAATTTGGTGTCAGGGACCTCTCCAAAGTACTGATAAGCAACGATGTCAGTTTAGAGTGTAAGGTGTGCTTGATCTAGGCCATGATCTCCATAATTACTTGCTATGCTTCAGAGAACTGGGCAATGACTAAGAATAATAGAAGAAGAATGGATGTCTTTGAGTTGTGGTGCTGATGAAGAGTCTTGAACTAACAAGTAAGTCTGTCTTAGACAGGGTGAAACCAATTTTTTTTCTTGGAGGCTAGGATAATGAAGCTCTGTCTCACATATTTTTGGCACATGGCCAGTTGGGATCAGTCCTTGGAGAAGAACATCAAGTTTGGAAGGCTGGAGGAACAGCAAAGGATAGGAAGACCCCAGATGAGATGGATTCATACAATAGGTAGAGTAGTGAAGGTAGATGTGTTAGAGGCAGTGAGACTGGCTCAGGATAGGGCAGGCTTCAGAGCTGTTGCACATATAGAGTCCCTATGAGTTGTGGACAAGACAACGGCACCTAACAACAACAACCCTGTACCAGATATTGCAAAACTGAGGGCTTGTGACTCTACTGAGTCCAATGTTGACAGTACATGCTAAATGAGAACCATTAGAACTGCCTGAGACCACTCACGTTGTTCATTTCAAACAATATACTAATAGGATTCCTGGTAGAAAAAAGGAGATAACTGCCTTGATTGAAAACATACTAAAGGCTTGGGTGTTCATGTCAAGAATTCTTTGTTTAGAACAGCAAGCAACAAATGCTGGCGAGGTTGTGGAGAAACTGGAAC